AAAGGCAAATGAAATTTTAATGTTTATCAGGCTAAACAGCAGATGGGCTGTCAGGATTATCATCTGTATCACTGACAGTGACAACATCCTCAGCAACAGGAACAGCTTCAACTTGTCTTGAAGTTGATGGCAGTGGATTATCAAGTGTGGACACTGCTGTTGCTTCTTCCTGCTTCCTAGCTATTTTCTTGAATATATCGGGCAATGTCTGTTGCTTCATATACTTGGGTCTTTCTCTAATAAGTTTATCTTGGAGCAAGAAAACATTCATGATTTCTTGTTCACTTACAAAACTTCGTTGCTCTAGTCCAGCCAGCAGTTCAGTTGTAAACGTAATTAACCTGTCAATAGAGATTCTCTCTCTCACATCTTCCTCATTTTCTTCACTGGTTTCATCTTCATCACTACCTGTACAGGCATTTCTCTCCGGACTTTTAACCATATCTACAATTTCAGAATCAGTGTAATGATGAACTGTAGGCACATTATCATCAACATCCAACCATTCTGTGAGAACATCTTCATTTATCCTTGATGAAAGCTCCTTGGCATCAGGATTAGTTACATCTTTAACATAAGCAAGAAGTTCATGTATAAGTTGCTTTTCTTTGGAAACCCTAAACCCTGCAAAATCATTTTCTGTGTCTTCGTTAGAATGAGAAGTAAACATTAAACTTGGCCACAATTTATGCCATCCATTTTTCAGTGTTGATGTTTTAATAGACTTTCAAGCATTGGCAACACAGTACACTGCATCCTTAATGTTGAACTCTTTTATGAATTTCTGTACTGGGGTGTCTGAATTAACTGAACTCACTAGGCGCCTCATTAACAGGGATCGATACTTACACTTCATAGAACGTATGATACCATTGTCCTGTGGTTGAATTAGTGATGTGCAGTTGGGTGGGAGGTAGGCAACAAAAACATTATCTTTCACTAGAAGATCGGCTTTTGGATGTGCCGAACAATTGTTTAAAATAACAAGTATTTTGCATTTAGGATCTAGTCCAACTGAGTTACAGTGAGCCCTGGCCTCAGGAACAAAACATTTATGAAACCAATCCAATGTAATATCAGTGGTAACCCACCCCTTCTTGTTGGCACGGTAATGGACAGGAAATCGTGTCATACCCTTAAAGACCCTCGGATGTAAACTTTTTCCGATAACAAGCAACTTACATCTATGGGTACCCGCAGCATTAGAGCAGCACATTACCGTGACGCGATCCTTCGAAGCTTTAAACCCCGATGGCGATTCTGCATCCTCAGTTGTCAGAGTTCTTTTTGGCGTACATCTCCAAAATAAGGCAGTCTCGTCAGCATTGTACACTTGTTCAGGACTTAAATGTTCATCACTAACTAACTTTGCAAATTCATCCACATAGGCACTAGCTGCATCCTTGTCTGCTGAATGTTTTTCACCACATACTGCACGAAAATGTAAGCCATGTCGCGACTTGAAACGTTGCAGCCAACCTTCTGTATAGTCACACTTGTGTTGCAATCCCAGCTCTTCATGAAACACTTTGGCTTGTTCCTTTAATAAATCACCAGAAATTTCCACACCTTCACTTACACGAAGATTAAACCAGGTTATGAGAACTTGGTCTAGTTCCGCACTTTTTCCATCCGACATTGACTTCCTTACAAACATTTTCCTTTTTGATCCACTGTCAGAAAAGAACTTTAACAGTTTTTCTTTCTGTTTTTTAATATCATACACTGTTGAAGAGCCGATGTTGTATGTTTCACAAATGGTTCACACAGACACGCCGCTATCAAGTTTTTTAAGCACTTCCACTTTCTCTGTGATCGACAACGCACGATGTTTACGTTTTACGCCACCGTTTTTCTTTGCTGAATCCATGATGGGGCTATACAGCAGCAATTAAATGATAAAATCAGAAGGAATGAGCATGAATGCTTGTTAGCAGGTGCAAGCAAGACCCAACAGCTGATTCTGGAGTACAGCGCTATCAAAACATAAACGGAGCGTCCAGAAAACAATGGTGCGCCAAGACAGGAAATTTGAAAATGCGCTCCGAAATCTATGCCGGAAAACTGAAGGTTCCGGTTTATCGATTGCCAGATTTTTGATAGTCAACCTGTAGTAACTTATACCCAAAATAATAGGATGCTACAATACCCTCCCTTCCCAGATCCATGGTGCAGCACACACCAGGGAACTGACTAAACACAGTCAAAAAATTTCTAACAGCCTCGCAGATAGCTGAATTTTGAATACAGTACTGAATAAAGGATCACTAATAACTTTTTGTGAATAACTGAGTTCGCAAATACGTGCACAGTAAACCGTCAAAGATCCAGACACAGCAAATCCAGATTTTGGAAGATTCAGACCAAATTTTGGGGGTTCTGGGCTAAGAAGCCTCCCTAAGAAGTATTCCCAAACAGGGTGAAGGTAGTTCTAGGCTTAAAGTTTTTATCTTATAAAATGTCATAGACTAAACATAGCAGAGTGTAACTTACATTGCTGGACTCCTTGCAAGATAGTGAATAATTTGAGTATAAACATCACATAGTTTGCACAAGAGATAAATTTTTTAATCTTTTAGTGTAGTATACATTTAAGTACAAGTTTTCAAATCGCATTTTTGGGTAGATATACATAACTTTCTTAATTTTTCTTTTTTACTCATTTACATGCACACACCATCCTAAATACATATTGTGAAAAAAGTAAAGAAATAATTGTCCTAGGGGCAAACCTGTACTGTACTCAAATGTACTAGATAATATACTAAAATTTTTATGTCTTGTGCAAACTATAGCGTGTTTATATTCAAAATAATCACTATCTTACAAGAATTCCAGCAACGTAAGTTATATTCTACCACGTCAATTCAGTGCCATTTTATAAGGGAAAAAATCTTCCTCTATATGACTGATAACTACATACTGTACTGGGTAATCTCCCTGCTGGCTGGTCAATACCTCACCTCATCCCCCCTGCCTGGCTGTCAACACCTCAACTCCTCCTCCCAGCCAGGGTGAAGATAGTTTTAGGCTTAAAGTTTATATCTTATAAAATATCACAAACTAAACTTAGCAGAATATACCTTGCATTGCTGGAATCCTTGCAAGATTGCGAATAATTTGAGTATAAACATCACCTAGTTTCCACAGGAGATAAAATTTTTAGTCCTTTAGTGTAGTACATTTGAGTACAGTAATATGTTGCTCAAAATTATGGCTTTTTCACAGGAAAAAGTCTGTATAACTAACCCCAGGGGTCAGGATAATATGTACTATATTTTTGGTGTTTTTTATATCATATTTATCGTTTTTATACCATTAGTACATTCGCCGGACGATTCGGACAATCGGCTTTTTCGGACAGGTGATCCCCCCTTTTAGTTCGTATCTTCGAGGGTTCACTGTACAGTATATCTTTATTGTCAGTGAAATCTTAGCAAAACTGGGATCTGGCAAGCAGTTCAGAACCTAACCCCCTTAATTACATTGTTCTTATGGGGAATTCGCTTTCTGGTTCCAAACAACCGCCTTAAGAACTGGTCCTTCAGTCCACAGCCTGTCTGTAAACCAGGGTGTTCTTATACTGTACTGTACATTGTTTGTTTCCTCTGGCTCTTCTTCATCGTGGAGTGTCAAGAGGTATACAAAATGATACCAACAGAAAAAAAATAGCCCTTGGAATATTGAGTTTCACTATAAAAAACAACAGCTATATCATGATTTGGTGACACTTTCATGTTTTAATAGGAAATCAATATTATGGTTCACGGACCATTAGTACAGTAAATGAATATATCTTACCTCACAGATATATCCTCAACCATTCGAAATGAACTTGTGATCAAGTCCAGTGAACAAGCATCATTGCAGGTGATTGTAAACGGAAAAGAAAATCATTGGCATAGTTGCAAGTGCACAGGAATGGGTATCTGGTTGATATACAGAAATTGGAAACTCTTACTCAGATATGGATACAGTATATATGAAGTACTGAGTCCTCAAATATAATTGAGAACAATTTCCATTTTGCGCCCCAGCACATTCAGACTAGGAAACACGGACGGTATTTCCACTACTTGCAGTCCCCAATTTATGAACATACGGTTTACAAAAACTCAAAATTAGGAAAAATATTCTTTGACTCATGCTGAGGTGCTGACAATGGCATATTAGGGCTTCCTATACCAGACCTCGTTAGTTTATATAAACATTAAACTAAAAAACAACATACAATACTGTACTGTACTGTTTCAGCCTGGGTAAGAAAGATAAAAATAAAATAAATGAAGTGTTTTAGTTATCATGGATCACAGGATTATTATGCAAAGTAGTGGTAAGATGTTGACTCAAGATATTTTAGCAGTGAGAACACTGATATGATCTGTATCTCAGAATTTGATCTGATGTCAGTGGAAAGAAAAAAACATTAAATGGATACGTTAAGCATTTCTTCTTAAGAAAAAACCCCATCAAAATCAAGTGAAAACAAAATATCTTAATGTGTATACAGTATTGTAAAAGTATAATGCAGAAAACTTACTGTTGATCAATTAATATGAAGTCTCACACTGCATCACAACCAGTGGTGCAGTTTCTCAATAATTTCCATTTCCTCCACTGCATGTAGATCACTTATTATGTTTATTATTGACTTATAACCATAATGGGAGTCTACAGTATAAGAAAATATGATCCGATTAGGAAAGTTTTGGGGGGAACAGAACCTTATCGTAAATTGGGGAATGCCTGTAGTTTCAGCATCAGGAATATTATCAGCAAAGAAAAATGGTAAAACATTTTACTCTTGTGGATAGAAGCATTAAAAAAAAAATTACAGTACTGTACCTGTATTTATAAATTTTGTGCATTTGATCATATGAAATCATTTGGTGGACACAGTGAAATCCAGAATCAAACTATCCACATATGAAAAATGTTATACATGATGAACAAAATCACTGAACAAAATATATCATAGAGATTAGCATTGATATAATTACCTCAAGGGCTTTACGTGAGGGAGGTCTAGGAATAGCCATTGTTGGAGTAGGTGTTGATCCCCTGCTAGAGGATCCTCCGCCACCTCCAGCTCTTGGTGGAAGTGCAGGAGGAGTTTCTGCTTCTGTCTCATTCAAGATGTCACTTAACTCTGAAGAAGAAAATTAACCTAAAAATATATTACTTAAATTTGTAGAAGAATATATAGAAAATTCTAGAAGGGCATTAAAATGTTCAGCAATTCCAATTCTTTTTAAATTTGTTTTCTTTATTTAGCCACTCCTCTGTAATATCAAGTATGATTCAATCCCTGACAGGACATCTAAAACACATCTCTATCCAATGATCTCACAAGTTAGGAGTAACATGGTGAAATGGAACACAATCCTAAGTGCAACCGGTGATCCTTTATACTGTACAGTACTGTATGCACCCACGATATAAATGGAATCTGCCAATGACAGATTACTCAGTATATATATATATATATATATATATATATATATATATATATATATATATATATATATATATATATATATATATATATATATATATATATATATATATATATATATATATATATATATATATATATATATATATATATATATATATATATATATACACATATACAGTCAACCCTCACTTTACGCGGTCCCACATTCCGCGTTTCCACGTTTACGCGGTGCCCTGCCAGAACCCAGGATGCTCACATTCCGCGGTGGGTGTACCCCTTTACACGGTGAAGTATAATTTTTTTATTTAGCTCATAAAATTCATACAAATTATCCGGCCAGAATATAATTTACATTGCTGGAATTCTTACAATTTGATGATCATTTTGAATATAAACATCATAGATTTTGCATTAGACATACAAATTTTAGATATAATGTTTACTCTTGAGTAAATATGTTATCTTTTGTGCAAAATATATGATATTTATATTCAAAATATTCCTGGTCTTACAAGGAATCCAGCAATGTCAATTATATTATCCTAACTTTAGTCTGATTTATTATTTATTACTAAAAAGGTAAACAGTCTGGTATTCCCACACATTTATCTAGTAGGGACGTTGGTGGGGGGTGGGGGGGAGGGAGGGAGGGACCGGCGACCGACCATCTGTTACCGTGTGAAGAATATTTTTTTTTTTATTAACTGAAGATTTTTATTTTAGCTCATAAAATTCATACAAATTACCCGGCCAGAATATAATTTACATTGCTGGAATTCTTACAATTTGATGATCATTTTGAATATAAACATCATATATTTTGCATTAGACATAAAATTTTTAGATAAAATGTTCACTCTGAGTAAGTATGTTATCTTTTGTGCAAAATATATGACGTTTATATTCAAAATATTCCTGGTCTTACAAGGAATCCAGCAATGTCAATTATATTATCCTAACTTTAATCTGAGGTATTATTTAATACAAAATGTTAAAATTTATTTTTTTCACCCACTCTTTCTCTTGGTGGGGGGTGGGGGGGAGGGTTGGGACTGACCGCGCGGTTGGAAGAGGGAGGGAGGCAAGGTGGGGTACTTTGATTGACAGATAGTGTCGTGAAGAATATTTTTTTTTTATTAACTGAAGATATTTGTTTTAGCTCATAAAATTCATAAAAATTACCAGGCCAGAATATAATTTACATTGCTGGAATTCTTACAATTTGGTGATCATTTTGAATATAAACATCATATATTTTGCATTAGACATACAAATTTTAGATAATATGTTTAATCTGAGTAAATATGTTATCTTTTGTGAAAAATATATGACATTTATATTCAAAATATTCCTGGTCTTACAAGGAATCCAGCAATGTCAATTATATTATCCTAACTTTAGTTTGAGGTATTATTTATTACTATACCTGGTTTTCCCCCCAAAATTTCTCAGAGGGAAGAGCCAACAGTGTAGTGTGAGAAGAGGGGGGAGGGAGTCGTGTCCATTATTTGAATGGACATTAACTTGGCGACTGTATTTCTCTATTTCTCTAAAGTATTAATTGTGTGCATGTACCATCATAAAATTAAGATGTTATTTTTACTAGAACATAGGTATTGTGTTGGAAAAAGTGGAGTTTGGGGGTCAGCTGGTCTCTATTTCATTTAATCCCATATGTTATGTTATTCACTTTACGCGTTTCTCACTTTCCGCGGTACCCTGTGGGTTACATTAACCGCGTCAAGTGAGGGTTGACTGTATATATATATATATACAATCAACACCTTAACCCGCCAGGATTCGAACCCATGGCCCACGAGCCCATGACTGTAACCGGGGAACGCTAACTGCTGAACCACCAGGATACTAAAAGCAGTCCTAGACTTTGTTATATTTCACACAAAGCCTGTTCAACGAGCTTAAGGCGCCGTGAACCTCTAATGGGGACTACCCGTATCACGTAGGTGGTCAGAGTAACGTTTTACCAAATCCGGCTTCGAAACACGAGGATCCACATATATTTCATTAGCCCAATAAAGCACGCGGACTTCTACATACAATCAACACCTCAACCCGCCAGGATTCGAACCCACGGCCCACGAGCCCATGACTGTGACCGGGGAAGGCTAACTGCTGGACCACCAGGATACTAAAAGCAGTCCTAGACTTTGTTATATTTCACACAAAGCCTGTTCAACGAGCTTAAGGCGCCGTGAACCTCTAATGGGGACTCCCCGTATCACGTAGGTGATTAGCCCTTATTGGGCTAATGAAATATATATATATATATATATATATATATATATATATATATATATATATATATATATATATATATATATATATATATATATATATATATATATATATATATATATATATACACAATACCCGCCTAAGCGCGGTTTCACACTTAGCGTTTTATCATATACGCGGTGCCTCGCCAGAACTGAACTTTCACTTGCAGATTTTTTCCACACATACGCGGAGTGTCCGGCTCGAGCGCTATTTTTAGATTTGCCCACCCGCCACCCTGCCTGACTGCCTGTTTTAGCTCATAAAATTCATACAAATTGCCCGGTCAGAATATAATTTACATTGCTGGAATTCTTATAATTTGGTGATCATTTTGAATATAAACATCATATATTTTGCATTAGACATACAAATTTTAGATAAAATTTTTCTCAGAGTAACTATGTTATCTTTTGTGCAAAATATATGACATTTATATTCAAAATATTCCTGGTCTTACAAGGAATCCAGCAATGTCAATTATATTATCCTAACTTTAGTTTGAGGTATTATTTATTACAAATAAGTTAAGTATTCTGGTTTTCCCACACATCTCCTTGGGACGGTTGGTGGGGGGTGGGGGGGAGGGAGGGACCGACCGACCATCTGTTACCCGTGAAGAATTTTTTTTTTTTTTTATTAACTGAAGATATTTGTTTTAGCTCATAAAATTCATACAAATTACCCGGTCAGAATATAATTTACATTGCTGGAATTCTTATAATTTGATGATCATTTTGAATATAAACATCATATATTTTGCATTAAACATACAAATTTTAGATAAAAATTTTTCTCTAGGTAACTATGTTATCTTTTGTGCAAAATATATGACATTTATATTCAAAATATTCCTGGTCTTACAAGGAATCCAGCAATGTCAATTGTATTATCCTAACTTTAGTTTGAGGTATTATTTATTAAAATTTAGTGGTTTTCCCCCAAAATTTCTCAGAGGGAAGAGCCAGCAGTGTAGTGTGTGAGAAGAGGGGAGGGAGTTGAGTCCATTATTTGAATGGACATTAACTTGGCGACTGTATTTCTCTATTTCTCTTAAGTATTAATTGTGTGCATGTACCATCATAAAATTAAGATGTTATTTTTACTACAACATAGTTATGTGTCGTCAAAAAGTGGAGTTTGGGGGTCGGGCCGGTTTCTATTGGAATTAATCCCATATGTTCTGTTTTTCACTTAACGCGGTTTTCACTTAACACGGTACCCTCTGGGTTTTATTGACCGCGTTAAGTGGGGTACAACTGTAGTCTATAAATAAGATGGCAATGCATTGAGAGTAAAGTCCAGTGAAGTCTATGAGCCATGGTCCTGGTCACAAGGTTGCTGGATAAAAAAGGGTCAATTTGTATTCATAAATAGTTTTTTTCAATACCTGTACATCCTGAAATGAGACAAACTCTACTGACCTGCATATCTATCAGCTCGTGGAGGTGGAGCCAGCACAGGTGAAGTGACTGACGTTACTGATGGCACAGGAGATGATACACCTATAAAGTATTTAAATTAATATTCAGAATACATCAAACATAATATTAAGAATCAAACATTCAACACAAGCAATTAATAATTAATGTGACTCGAAGTATATCACATATAATGCCAACCACTGGAATGAAAGTACGCTCATAGATGTAAAAAATAAAGGCAGTCTATCTCTTAGTCACGTAACACTCACAGGCACTGTGATGCATGTGTTATTTATAATCTTGCCCAATTGGTACAGATATGAAAATCGTATCACCACAGAGAAAAAATAAAAAAAATCAAGTAATTCCAAATGATGCTTGAGATTTTGGCACGTCATTCTGGTAGGCCTCCTCTCTTGTGGTAATCCATCTTCAATTAGCTAAATGGTAACTGTCCATAGTGCAACACTAAAAAGACATCAGTGTTTGCTCAACCCACAAGCTGGAAGGTACTGTACAGTGAGTGGGCCCTTTAAATATTTTATCTCACTCTCCATTCCATACACTCACACACTCCATTGTGCAGTAATATTTGACTGTAAAGTGTTTATTTGTTTATATTATGATATTTCACTTGTTCAAACTTGTAAGCATCACGAATGTAAAGTGAATACGATAAACATCATAGCTATCTGTAAAAGTGATGAATAGTGTTGTAAGTGTTTTATAAGTGTCTATATGAGTGTTCGTAATGTGCTTACAGTAAGCACCCCGAGTACCGGACACCTGAGTACAGTAACAACCTGTCCAGATAATGACACGATGTAATGTGGATGGGATCACACGGTCCCACCACCCTAGCCCGTATCACAACAATATAAAGTAAGGAAGGATTAAAATCTATTCCCTTTTACTCAATGTTAAATCAACCTATAATTCAACCCTAGCTTTGGAGAAATACTAGGTACAGTATAATCCTAGATATAATTTATAGCAAGACAACAACAAGTCTTGTCTGTAACCATCACCACAACAGCTGATGTTATGAACAGTGTTACCATCTCTGAAACTGAACTCCCTCCAGTTACCTACCCCTATGAAAAAAAAGATAAAATAATATACAATAAATCCTCAAAAGTCCAGACCTTGCAAGTCCAGATTTTGGATAGTGTGGACCCTTTCAGGGCAAGACACGTTTGTCCAAAACCAAAAAATTTGTAGTTTGAAATTCCCGCCGCACACGGTCATTTGAAATTGCCACGAACAAGCAATCCCTTGGCCTCTTTTCTCTTTCGGACCCGTGAATGAGCAATTTATTCCCCCATTCTTAGAATGGATTCACCCATAATGCTGCACTACGACTGGTTAGCTATAAATTCAACACACATTCAACCACAGAAAAATAGTACATTTTAGGTAAAATAATTCAAACAATGATGATAATCCTTCTGGGAAGAGAGAAGACGAGCATGCATTATATGTCACACACGCACACACACACACCTGTAAGCCTTCATTATATTGAAGTCAAATTACAAATAATATACAGCTACTCCCCGACTTACAACCTACTCAACTTACGACCACCCGGATATAAAACCGCCTCAGTTGTACCAAAATTTTGTCAAATTACATATTTTCGAGTCCCAACGTCAGTGATTGCGCTGTGTACTGACAAAATTTTCGTTTGTAATTCACTTTAAAATGGCTGGCAATCCTAAAAGTGAGAGTTTTGTGGTGCTGAGAAGAAAAAGAGACACCCATTTTAGATTTTCTATGTATTATTTAAGCATTTTCGAGTTATTGTACGACCATTTCGACTTACGACCTGCATTTGGGTTCCTAACCCCGTCATAAGTCGGGGAGCAGCTGTATTGTCTTTTTTTCTATTATTCAATATTTATATTATTAATGATGAAACATACACCATAAGAGGCTGATCATATGAGAATATAATAAATGAATAAAAACAAACGTGAATGCAGTAATAAATAGTCCCCCCTCTCCCCACAACTGACAGATAAGTGATTAAGAGATTACCTTCTCTTTCAGATTGTCATGTTATTTGAAGTCAAATTATATATCACATTTTTCTATGATTTAATCCTGTATGTTATATTATTTATGATGAAACATACCCCACAATAAGCTGATTGTACAAGAATACTGTATACAGTGATCCCTCGGTTAACGAACAGTTCGATTAACGAAATTTTGGTTAACGAATTAGCTCCCATAAGGATCTTCAATTCGGTTAATGAACAAAACTTCAATTAACGAAATCCTTACGACAAACACGTGTTGTCGTGAGCATCAGCTGATTGGCTAGTCTGCCAATACAGTAATCTGTTCTATGTTTACATTTGTTTCTAGTGGAGTAAATATAAAGACGGTTGTGTTCTTGAATATTTTTGCATTTTTTATATTAAAATTATTGGTCATTCTAAAATTTTGCCATCCAAGCTCTGTCTACATAAAGTTTTTCAACTATTATTTTGGGCTCGATATATGTAACTTTATTCATTTATTGAAACTCATTTACATGCACACACTGTCCTAAGGGCAAAGCTGTACCGTACATGTAATCAAAATAATGTACAAAATGATTACTAAAATTTTTGTCTAGTGCAAACTATCGCATGTTTACATTCAAATTAATCACTATTTTATAAGAATTCCAGCAATGTAAATTATGTTCTCCCAGGTCACTTCTATGACATTTTACAAGCAAAAAACAAAAGCTCAATCTAAAGGACATAAATAAACAAATAAATACTCCACTAGACCTTCGACCCAACTGTCAAACATGTCACTGTCACCCCCCCCCCCACCACCACCACTCCCAGCAAGGGTTTGGTGGTTATACAGTAGGCTTTAAATTTTTATCTTATATAATATCACAGACTAAAGTTAGGAGAATGTAATTTGCATTGCTGGAATCCTTGCAAGACAGTGAATAATTTGAGTATAAATGTCATATATTTTGCACGAGATAAAAATTTTAGTACATTAGTGTACTGTAGTACATTTTAATGTACAGTTTTCAACTATTTTTTGGTAGATATACATAAATTTCTTCATTTATTTTCAATCATTTACATGTACACACCATACTAAAAGAAACATAAAAGAAATAAATGACCTAAGTGCAAATCTGTACTGTACATGTACTAAATGATTATGGTACTAAAATTTTTATGTCTAGTGCAAATTATAGCTTGTTTATATTCAAATTAATCACTATCTTACAAGAATCCCAGCAATGTAAATTATATTCTCCCAGGTCATTTCACTGACATTTTATAAGAGAGAAGCTTTGTCACTTAAGGATGGTTAAATAAACACACATAAGACCTTCGTCTCCAACTGTCAAACATATCACCTCGCCTCCTGCTCGCTCGCTCGCTCCCTGCCTCTCCCCAGCCAGGGTTTTAGGCTTACAGTTTTTATCTTATATAATATCTCAGACTAAAGTTAGGAGAATATAATTTGCATTGATGGAATCCTTGCAAGACAGCGAATAATTTGAATACAAACGTCATATATTTTGCAAAAGAGATAAAAATTAATCACCTGGATCATGTTACAGTAGTGATTATAAGAGTAAGAGTGTACTGTATATGTATGTATATATATAGTGACTTAAGGGCGATTTAGAGGAATTTTAGGAGTGTTTCTGACTTTATACGTTTTTTTTACTAATTTAGTCAGCAGGGTGGATATCGAGTTCTGGATGAAGGGTCTTTTCAACATAAGGCGACTCCAGGCAGGAACAAAGGTGTCAGCAGCTTCCATTACTGAACTTCAGTTGGCAGATGACCTCACCCTTGTCGCTCACACTGAACGCAACCTACAGGAGAGCCTGAACACCTACACAGATGTGCATGCACACTTCGGCTTTGAGGTGAATGTAAGTAAAACTCAGATTCTCTTTTAGCCTGCCCCTGGTACAGCCACACCTCCACCATCCATCCAGCTTAACGGTGCTACCCTCTCTAATGTTACCCACTTTCGGTATCTCGGCTCTTGCCTGATGAAGAAATTCAACATTGGATCAGATGTGCAGCTCAAGCCTTTGGCAGACTTTGTACCCATGTCTTCAGCTGTAGGGCTGAAATTATCTACAAAGTCGCACGTATTGTATATCGAGCAGTGGTAGTCTCCACCCTGCAATATGGCAGAAAGACATGGGTCACATACAGGAGGTACCTCAAGGCACTTGAAAATTTTCACCACCGTAGTCCTCCTAGTTTGCTGGGAAGACAAGAGAACAAATGCCAGTATTCTCGCTGAGATCAACTGTAGGAGCATCGAGGCTACCATTATCCATGAACAACTATGCTGGACTGGCCATGTTACTTACATGGATGACAGTAGACTGCCAAAGCAGCTACTTTACAGTCGCCTATCGAATAATAAAAATAACGTTGGTGGGCAACTGAAAAGATATATGGATAGTCTTAAGACAAACCTGAAAGTACAAAATCAACCCCCTCACCTGGGAGACGATTACTACAGACCGTAACGCCTGGAGGAGCACCACACAAGAAGGTGTCAATACTTTCGAGTTAGCCTGACTGCATACCGAGGCAGACAAGCGTCAAAGCTGGAATGACACTGTCCCCCACCCCTCCCACACTAGGTGTAGTCCTCCACACGTGCAACATCCATGGACGACACTGCCAGTCCTGTATCGACCTCTCTAGTCACCTCAGAGCCCACTAACGAAGGTGACATCCCTATTAACTCATAAAATTGTCTCATACCTGGATGATCGTCATACTCGATTCCGAGTGACAGCAAATAGTTTGTGTGTGTGATTTTGGGGTGTGTGTGTGTGTATGATTTTGGGGTGTGTGTGATTTTGGGGTGTGTGTGTGTGATTTTGGGGTGTGTGGGTGATTTTGGGGTGTGTGGGAGGTGTTGGGGTGTGCTCGGTGAGCTCTGGCCAAGAGAGGGGTTCTTGGCACTCCACCTGGATAATTATGTGTTCCCTTCCCATGGTTTGTGTGGTGCTTTATTTCAGCCTGACATTAGCCAAGATGCCTGGGAAGTACTTGAGTGATGTGGAGAAGTCCAAA